CACCCTTAACTAGCACACATAAACTTGTCATGTGAGTATTAGCACCCACAGGCTTGTCATGTCAGCATTAGCACCCACAAACTTGTGGTGTAAGCATTAGCACCCACAAAATTGTCTTGTAAACATTAGCACCCTTAACTAGCACACATAAACTTGTCATGTGAGTATTAGCACCCACAGGCTTGTCATGTCAGCATTAGCACCCACAAACTTGTGGTGTAAGCATTAGCACCCACAAACTTGTGGTGTAAGCATTAGCACCCATAAACGATGCCAGCTGGTGCAGCAACAAGGTGTAGCCAAAGTTTCTTTTTCAGGTTTATTTTCGGGGGGGGGGGGGGGGGGGGGGGACACGACCCTTGAAATTTTCTAAGTAAATAAATGAATAATAAAATAATATTTAGTTCTGGGGTGTGGGCAGAATTTAAAGCTGTAATAATTTTAACACTAGCGCCTGTGTGTGATATTTTAAGTAATTTCGTTTTTTGACGAAATGTGTCCTAGACATTACTTGACAACTGCCTGTAGCATGTCCCGAGTGACCGTTTGTCAAAAATCCCTTAATATTAGGGTCTCAACTCTTAAAAAAAAAAGAAAAACCCACCAAACCTCCGTTTGTTAAGTATCCTTTAATATAAGCCACTCAGCTCTCTCTAAAAAAAAAATAAGATCACCCACTAAACCAAATATTGCCATGCATAGGAATGGAAAAAAATAAAAACGACCCACACATGTTATGTAAATCCCGCGATTATTTCTGTTAACCTTTAACCCGATGAACTCACCAGACGGTTTAAACAACGGGGCGTGTCAGACAAGGCCGTTTATTTGAGTTTATTTTTAGAATCATAATTTTGTTTTCATAAATGTCACAGAAAACCAGGCGAATTTTACTTGAAAAAAAAATGTAATTGGTGTGAAGTCGAATTTAGCAAATTATTCATAAAAACTGTTTCACTTCAACAGGATTTAATAAAAAATGAAATAAAGAAGGATCAAGCTACAGAAACAAATAAAAGCAAGTTTTAAAATCAAAATAACCTGATACGGTTGTATATTAAGCTGCATAAATCTCTTACATAATTTACTGACCAATTTTTTTTTACTAAAGAGGTAAATTTTTGTTTTATTTCCTTATAAACAGCCAGCTCAAAAGATTGCAATAAATCTTTATACCAGTTTTATTTTTAAACTAAACAAACTGATCTGACAATAGACAAGACATCAAGGGAGGTAATCATGAACATAAATTTATTTACAAACATGTACAATGCTCATCATCAGTTTATTTATAACCTTTTACAATGCTCATCATCAGTTTATTTATAACCTTTTACAATGCTCATCATCAGTTTATTTATAACCTTTATTACAATGCTCATCATCAGTTTATTTATAACCTTTTACAATGCTCATCATCCGTTTATTTATAACCTTTATTACAATGATTACCATTAGTTTATTTATAACCTTCCACCAACAAACAAATTTAACTGTAGTGAACACTGTTGTACCACACACCAGTTACAATCTATGTGTGAATGAGTCATGTGTTTAAAAATAGGTAATACAGACACACACATTTTTAATACAGAAACACAACTTTTTCCATAAAAAACTTATTAATAATACTTTAAGTTTTAAGTATTGAATTTTTCAAAATATCAAAATATTGTATTAGTATTAGTATTTAGGGCTCAGTGTTCTAAGGGAGAGAACTCAATAAATACAAATTTTTTTTACCTATTGTGAAACAAGTCAAAACATTTTGGCAGCAAATGCTATTCAGTCAACGCTTACTTTAAATTTTAATTAAGTTACTGGTAGATGTCATTTTTGTTTTATTAATTAGCAATTAAAGTCAATTTATTAATAACATAAAATAATAGAGGTGCACACATAAATGGATATAAAATGACTTAGTTAAATTGAAGAAAAAAGATAAATTGTCCATGTTTCACAAAAAATTTTGGACAAAATTAGGAAAATTTCTACATACCTGTGTAAACCAATAAACAGAAAAATCAGGTCAAAATTCATGCACATAATAAAATAAATAATAACATAAAAAGATGAAGGTATGTTTGATTTTTTAATGAGTTTTGTACAACAATATCAATGTTCATCTCTTTCATGGTGACTTGTATTTCTTGTCATTACAATTTAAATTTTTTGTTTAGTGTGTTTCAATTTTATGCAGGATGGCAAGAGATTGATTAAATTAAGTAATATTTATTCAGAGAGAATATTAACTGGGCAAGTATAAGACAGCAAAATATACTTCACTGTATGTTTGTACAACTTTTTTGTAAGCTTTAATTAAAAAAATATGTCCAACAAAAATTCATATTTTAAATTAGAAAAAATAATTACTAAAAAAATTTCTTATAATTTGTGAACATTTTTGTTAGTTAAGACAGAGGTTATGTCCATTATAAAGGAATTGGACTGAATAAATATAATCTCAAAGTTAACATTTCTTTTAATGATTTGATGAATACTAAAAATACAAAATTATTTTTTTTTTAAATTAAAAAAAAAATGAACAATGCATAAGAAAAATAAAGAAATCAAAATACTAGACATAAAAACTCCTAATATTCTACAAATCCAATTTATACTAATTTTTAATTAATTTATATGATTTACATTGCACATATACTATCTACATTTCTACTACTGTCTTAAAGCCTATGCAAATAGAACAGCATCTTTATACAGTTCCTGTGGTGTCAAGTTCATGATGATATATACCAGGTTCAATCAAATATATTTTGATGTCGTATCTAATATCAAATCTCATCCACCAATCTCACCATGGGAACACCAGCTTTTGATCATAAAACTCGTTCAAAGTGTGTACACTACCACAAACTGAAGATTCAACAAGAGATTATAACTTGCTGAATCTATTAAGTCTACCAACAAGCAAAACTTGATACAAGTTTTAAAAATACTGAGAGGTGTTAGGGGCATGTGAACTGGGTGCTTAACCCATTGAAGTACATATTTCATGCATGTATAAAACAATGCACTAGAACTTAATTATAAGCAGACCAATTGAGGGGAGGCAATCAAGGAAAAAATTCACAACCAATTATCCCACCACCAAGGAGTGGCTTTGTTTTTATTTTTGTTTTTTCTTAACAAGCAAAACAAAAGTACTTTTAGCAAGGTACTTTGTTCTCAGACTTTAACTATCTACAAAGGCTTTGAGCAAGCCTCAATTAACACAGAGTGGCATCTTGGATTGATACATTCAAAAGTTCAAATATCAACACCAAGCTTCTTTTTAAAAAAACTGCACCAAAAAATCCAGAATTATTACTACAGTGTCCCTCCTTTGCAAAAACAATCTACAATTTCACACTGATCTGCCTTATGAAAACACGGAATCAAACTATATTTTTAACTTCGCCTAAAAAAGAACAAGCCATTTCGCTTAAAAGTGAAAATTACTCTGTTTTTTACAGTTTACGAAAGACATTTCTTTTGAAATCTCTACATAATTTAACATTTAATCTCATTAAGAGGAGTAAAAAATACATACATCATATACATTTCAAATACTTTTGTTGACAACTAGTCTAATATTTAATAAAGTTGTTCAACTTGTTTTGTGGAGGATAAATAAATAAAAATAAAAAATACACAAAACAAATATGTTGTAGATATTCCAAATGCTAACAGATTATTAAATGAGTATATTATTTTGTTTACATTTACCTTGGTCTCTATCAAAATATTTAAGTGTTCTTTGGATTTCTAAATACTGTATTGTGTTAAAATTTGATCATTAACTGTGACTGAGACTACAATTGTAATTAAAAATCATTTTAACCCACTCCTTATAAACACTGTCTAAGTACCGCAACATAAAAAAACATATTTAAGGCAGAATAAGCTGTTGAAAACAGCAGCTATAATTTCATTATAAGTACAACAAAATACATCATGAATAAATCAGCTAAAAGCATACTTAAAAGTATTAACAGGTAAAATTTGACCAAAAAATATAACTTCACATTAATCACTCTAGTAAAACACTTTCCAAGGATTTAGTGAGAACAGTAAACTGTTATCCAACATCAAAACAAATGTATTATGATATTTCTATACATTTTGTTCATGCTTTTACAATAACCTTCCAAATTAAAATAGTAAAACAGGTAAATATCTTATACATCTAGAGATGATGAAATTAAATCCCCAAGCATGAAAAGTTTTACACATCATGGAAAAATGGTTGTCCATAAGGGGTCATCCATTTATGACGTCCACAATTTAAAAAATTTTTTGGACCCCCCCCCCCCCTTCCCCCCTCAGTTTTTTTCGGACCCTCCTGCCCCCCCCCCCCCCCCATCATAAATGGATGACCCCTAACCGGGTATGATGTATACACCTACAGGCGCAAATATTTATCTCACGCACAAAGGTTAGGTAAACTCACACACATTTTTATGACAATGTGCTTTAAGGAGATTGAGAATTAATGTATACATGAGTGTGTGTGTGTGTGTTGAGGGGGCTCAAGAAATGTGAAGTAGTATTTATTTTGTAATCAAGGAAAAAACAGATTTTTGACTCTTTAAGTACATCTATTAAACATGACCCCTACTTTATTTTAACATGTCATGCAGTAAAAACTCTAAAAACCGAATCGCAATTTTAATTTAAAAAGAACGTTGTCATTGAAAAATAATAGGGGGAATCTTTTACGTATTATGTTGGGTCAAAAATAATTTGAAATGAAATGACCAACAGTAAAATCAGCAAGTATTCAACACATACAGTAGATACGTAAAAGAACACAATTGTGTTACACGCATTAAAACTAGAAATTGGAGATCAGTACGACACAATAAGCCACATGTGTTGAACATTTGGTGGAGCAGTAACATATATGTACAACATAACCCCACCCTAGCTAGTTCAGTCTCCTCGCTTTCTCTTTTGTGGCCCCTGGGGAGCAGAGGGATGCAGCCACACCACACCAGTTTTGTGTGGCTCTCTTTTTTTTTTTATCTATGCTAGCCCTGCAGCCCTTGCCACTGTTTTCTATGTTCAGTCATGACAATCATTTTTATTTCTTCCCTGAAGGTTAATATCATATGACTAGTCAAAATATTTTTTGCACTGATTTTTACACTGAGTTAGCAGTTTAAAATAACGGTTAACATTTTAATTTCAAAACTCCATGATTCAACTTTAAAGCAAACATTTTAAAATCTAAAATCAACTGGAAAAAAAATCTCAATCTATGATGAGGTTGAACCATTTCTTCTCAATGAATATTTACAAAACTAATTTGCCCATAATTTCTTAACAATATTTTTGTGGTTTATTAGTAAAAAGTGGAGTTAAAGAAAAAAAATCAGCAATATCAGAATTTATAAAAAAAAAAAAAAAAAAAAAAAACCCCAGAAACAACACAATTCAACTCACTATAGACTAGAATGATCATAGTATACACAGCAAACAGTATACAGCGTTCTCTACAATGTAATGTTACAGCTTTGTACACAGCAATAATCAACCAGTCAATGCAACAGTAGGCTTTCTATAGAACAACAAACTAGCAGAAAATAACATTGCCAGTACATGCGCCAAAGCTGCATTTTTTCAAAACAGAGCTGCACATTTTTCAGCTAGAGAGCTGGAAATAAATAAACTTGACCTCACTTTTTACATAAAACCTGACATTATTTTTACAAAAGGCCACATTAACGATTCTCGGACTAACACCACGATTAAGATTCTTCACTTGTTACAACATCAACATCAGAATCTCACATCTTATTCAGATTCGTTTTATCATTGTTATTTACACTAGATCAAACATCATCCACACAGCTTACATGTATAAATTAAAGCATACCAGTATTTCCATAACATCAAGTTTAAAAAAATGTAGAATTTTTTTCTACATCTATCATATTAACATGCAATGCTGTCTACAGAAAAGTTATCTACTTATATAAATACAATTTTTAAAAAATGCATCATTTTAAAAATTAGTTCTAATGTTGACCAATTAAGAAGTGATGGTTTTACTCATTTAGAAACAAATAGGGAGATAATTCTTGAGCAGAACACTTATGGTTTTAATTAGTTAAAATGTTTGCAAATCTTTACATGTTCTAAAAAACGTTCATCAAGTTTAAACCTATACATTTAACCAGTCTACCTTACTCAATTATGCTGGGTGAGGTATAGGTTTTATCAATAACAACAAAAAATACAAGGCATCAACTTTTTATATGGTGAAAAGTGGTTATTTTTATGTAATTTTTTAATGCTAGAAAGCAGATTAAGCGCTGTAGCTTTTTAATGTTGGAAACTGGAAAATTTATGTAGTTGTTTAATGGTAGAAACTGTATACATATTCATGTAGTTTTTTAATGGAGGAAATTGAATATATCTGTGTAAATTTTGGAATGGTGAAAATTTGATATATTTATGTCCCTTTTTTATAATAGTGAAAATTGGATAAAATGTACTTTTAAAATGTCATAAGTGAAAGCTATGTAGTATACATTCAAAGATTAATACTGTATTAAAAATTAAATACAGACATTTCTTTTTACATAGTACTAGGTGTAATATTTTTAAGGCAGGGTATTGAGTTTTGATATTGAGTTATATTTTTAAAATTTAGTAATTCAGTGATTTTTTTCAATGGAACAAAAAAGATATAATGAATCCACCCAAAACGTGTAAACTAAACAGATGTTAGTTTACATAAAAATTTTGTTATTGGTGACCAGACAGTACAGTAAAGCTTTAAGTAACAATAACAAATATTCCCATGTCCAACAACGTTTCTTATTCCTACCTCCCGTGTTAGAGCTAACCCTACCTGTGAGGTGCGCTATACACGCTAGTTCTGTTGACACCCAGGTACTGGGTCCACACCTGTAGGGAAGCAGGTAAGAACTCCAGGTTCTTGACATGCTGCCTGGAATCACTGGTGGACTGCAGCTCAACCAGGTTCATGGTCAGGCTGAGAGAGGTGAAGTCCTCCCTGGCAATGGCCGTTTTAATGCTGTGTTTGGATAGGATGATGTTGGAAAACTGGCCAGTGATGACAAACGTGTCACTGTGGTTGGATCCCAGCATTTGTGTGATGTCCACGTAATCCAAGGACCCATCTCCATCAACGTCGCCTACAGCTCCTATCCGAATTAAAAAATAGAATTTATCAGAAATCAATAACTACAACAAAATTTGATTAAATATAAATAAATTAAACTTGGAAATTTATGCATTATATTTTCATAAAGCTGCAGGTATTAAATCTTACATATAAAAACAAACCTAATTGTCATAGTAATGTGTTACAAGTCCTAAATGTATGACTGTACAGTTGAGTCTTATCTAGTAAATTTAGCATTGTGATATACCAGTAATATTTGAGTTTTTGTCTATCACATTCTAATACCATTACCATATCAAGCTCAGTTTGCACAGGTCTACTGCCAAAAACCATTTCAACATGGACATTACACCAGATAAACAAATTATTACACTGTCATCTTTTGCCCTCTACAATGCCTATCTCAAACCATTCATTTACATTTTACAAGGTACTCTTCACTAAGGGGGAAACTTGCAGTAATTTATGGGTAAACTATACACACTAATCCAAGTGTTGTAAAGCATTTGTAATCTAATCCTATTAAATTTCCCAGATAACATATCTCTGATAGGTGGTCTGACGGCTGTCCTAATATATTAACCCTTTAGGTACCATGGCTGTGTGCTAAGTAAAATAACACTGTCATGGTTGAAGCAACCTTTTGTAGTGTGAGATGGAACTTGAATATTTGCTACCACAGCATGTAAAAAACCCAACAGACTGACAGATGCTGGGTGTACCTGTGTGACTTGTAGGGACCAGTACTGTACACATGTCTATCTTGTCCTTCTGTCGGGGAGACAGGTCGTGGCAATGGTTAGTCCCCACTTCATGGCGAAGTCCTGAAATTTTCAAATCACTTTAAACATTCAGCAAACCCAGGTGAGGTAACGAGTAAATTATGATTAGGATAGGGATAATGATAGAGAAAAGGAGGCAGCATTCATTTAATCTAAAATAATGATACACTCAAACTGTTATAATATTCATACAGAAGTAATAATAGTCATTATACCCCCCCCCCCCCCCAAATCAATTTCCCCACTCTAATATGACTTACAATAATGATGCCTTTGTATGCTTATATGACTTACGATAATGATGCCTGTGTGCCCTAACATGTCTTAAAATAATGATGCCTTTATGCCCTAATGTGTCTTACAATAATGATGCCTTTATATGCTAATGTGTCTTACAATAATGATGCCTTTATGCACATATGTGACTTACAATAATGATGCATGTGTGCCCTAATGTGTCTTACAACAATGATGCCTTTATGCCCTAATGTGTCTTACAATAATGATGCCTTTATGCCCTAATGTGTCTTACAATAATGATGCCTTTATGCCCTAATGTCTCTTACAATAATGATGCATTTATGCCCTAATGTGTCTTACAATAATGATGCCTGCATTCCCTTATATGACTTACGATAATGATGCCTGTGTGCCCTATGCTCCAGTATTTTTAGAGGGTAGCTGGCAACAAAACTGTCCATGAGAAAAAGTTCCTGTGTGAAAAGCTGAAGATCATCATCACACAGGGCATGCTGACTGCTGACCCTTTGTCTGATTTCATCACCTGTCACAGAGGAGAAACTATATCACAGCATATATACTTCACCACAATTCTAAATAACAATGGTATTTTTTCTTATTTTTTTTTTAAAGCTATGAATATCCACCATAGAATGCTGACATTTGACAACTCATACGTAATTTTACTTTTTAAGTTAAACACATCAATTTTTTATTTACTAATTTTATAAACAATTTTAAAGTAAATATTTTTTAATGGGCGCATAAATGTTTTATATTTATGTATACAAAAGATACCTACACATATGTTTGAATTCAAACTCCTTATCAGCTGTTGTACCAGAATCACTGCTGTCTTCAGATTCTGCTGAAGTTCTCTATAAAATATGGGAAAAAAATAATAATTGGACAGGCACTTGTTGGACAAAGGATATAAAAGATACACAGGATATAACTATCAGATTGCCTAGCAAATCAATCTATATTTTGAGGTGATGCTGTCAGATTTTTAAAACAAATTTTAAACTGCTACATACTGTTAGATTATCTGCTTTATCAATTTATCTATACAGATTTTAAACTGCTACCTACTGTTAGATTGTCAAGAAAATCAATCTGTACAGTTGTGGCATTTCTGACAGATTTTAAACTGCTACCTACTGTTAGATTGTCTAGGAAATCAATCTGTACAGTTGTGGTATTTCTGACAAATTTTAAACTGCTACCTACTGTTAGATTGTCAAGAAAATCAATCTGTACAGTTGTGGCATTTCTGACAGATTTTAAACTGCTACCTACTGTTAGATTGTCTAGGAAATCAATCTGTACAGTTGTGGTATTTCTGACAAATTTTAAACTGCTACCTACTGTTAGATTGTCAAGAAAATCAATCTGTACAGTTGTGGCATTTCTGACAGATTTTAAACTGCTACCTACTGTTAGATTGTCTAAGAAATCAATCTGTACAGTTGTGGTATTTCTGACAAATTTTAAACTGCTACCTACTGTTAGATTGTCTAGGAAATCAATTTGTACAGTTGTGGCATTTCTGACAGATTTTAAACTGCTACCTACTGTTAGATTGTCTAGGAAATCAATCTGTACAGTTGATGTGTTTCTGCCGCTGAGCTTCAACAAGAAGACATCCTTGGTGCCAGTAAGAGTTTTTAGAGAGAGATCACTGGAGTTGAAAGTTCCATGGCCTTGATGGGACCACATTGTGGAGCCATCCTTGCCATTCAGAATCACAGTCTGAAAATGGAAGTAAACAAAAATAAATCACACTAAAACAATGTCTGACAGTGCAGGTAACCTAAGTATTTGTGTCAAGGTCAGGTAATGCCAACTGTTGTAACTGGCATGAGTAGAAATGTCAGGTGCAGAAATGACAAGGTTATTACCTGAGATGACCGGTGTTTGGCTGGCACACCTTGATGCAGGTGAAGAATAAAATCAAGTGTTGAGTCTGAGTCATAGTATCCTGGTGTTGGGGAGCTGGGGAAATCACATTTCACACACATTAATGCCTGCTTTAGTTTAATATCTAACCCTAGCACTTATCTATAATTAACCTTCACACTTATCTAAGTAAATGAATGAAGCTAATGTAATCAAATTTCACACTCATTAACACCTGCCTTAGTTTTATATCTAGCCCTAGCATTGATTTAAGTATATGAAAGAAGCTCGTAAAATCAAATTTCACACACTTAAATGCCTGCGCTTTATATCTAACCCCAGCACTTATCTAAGTATATGTAAGGAGCTGGTGAAATAATATAATATATGTATAATATTATATAATCATATAATATCATATTATGATCAATGGTTTATTTTTACATCTAGCCCAGATACTACCTCTGGTGATATCACATTTCACATTATAGCATTTATCTGTTAATTTTGCATTTCACACTCCGTAACATGACTGCTTTATTTTATTTCAATATACCTAACCATTTAAAATAGTAACATATTTATCCAGGGGTCTATTGATTGGACTAAATAACAGAAATAGTACTTATCAAAAGTGTTTTCAGTAACAAAAACACTGAACAACTAAAGAAACATATTTACTTAAATTTGACACAAACGTTGGAAGTGAATTATCTGTAATGTTGCTAGACTGCAGATCATAAACTACCATACAATTTAAAAAAGTTTCTAACCTGTAAGTCATCATGCCTGGAAACAACTTAAAAAGGTTTCTAACCTGTAAGTCACCATGCCTGGAAACAACCGCGTCCAAGTTTGTGTTAGTGTCTGACCATCTAGCAATGTCACATTCCCATCTACACTTGTCACCAGAATGTCCAGGCTCCCATCATTGTTCATATCCGCTAGTACAGGGGGAGCTAAAATACCACCTGAAATTGTACTGAAAACAAAAGAAAATTATTTGTTGAGTGGCTGTTTCTAGAGTACAGTTTGAAACTATTTGATGACTAATAGAGTAGATTTTTGGTATTTTAGAATATTCGATACCCACTAGACGACTTTGAAAGTGAAGACTCAAAACCAACAACTGGATTATTATTTGTATCTAAGTTATGTAAAAAAAAACACACCACTTATCTACATTCTGACTGGAATTGGGACAACCCAAAAATAAATTACTAGCGATAATATTCATTTGTCTACTATTAAATATGACAGGGTAGTAATTGAGTTTTCAAACTATTTAAAATGTTATGGAGTGAGTATATAAATAGTGGAAGTAGGGGGGGGGGGCATAGTCAGATGGTAGAGCTTACAACTACTAACTAGAAAGTCTCAAGTATGGATCCCTTGGGCTTGAGCCTGTATAACGTCCCTGAGCACACCCAGCACTGTTTTGTACCAGACTCGTGTTAGGGAAACTAAGCTGCATAGTGCTAGCTACAATATATCCTCGTATGTCCAAGTCAATGAAATAGATGAACTCTGCTTCATCTACCATAAGTGTCTTGGGCATAAATGGGAAAAGATGAGGTGATTCAGATAAAGGGGGAGGAATACAGTCTCTTGACAATCAGACAACCAGTAACTGAGTAGTTGCTTCAAGTGTTGATAAATAAATTAGTTACTTTTAGTACTTACAGCAACACATAAGCTGATCCAACTTGGGTTTGTCTTAAAGGCCAATTGTAGGCAGTCACATCAACACCAGTCATCTTCTTCTCAGTTACATTGTAATACAGCTCAGGAAGGGAGATGGCCATCACTTTTCCTGCAGATAACAAAACCTGAACATTTGACCAAATGTTTGGGTAACTTTTACCTTATACTCAAAACAACACAGTAGTATACTTAAGAGGATGGATGTATGCTTTCTGTCATAGGTTTGTATATGTAGGGTTGACATTACACATTATCCGACTAAAAGTAGGACAGAGACATTAGATTAACTTAAGGATGATTTCATGCTAACTTGTATTTAATGTAGAAAATATGGTTAGAGAGTATTAGCTATCTGCTTTGTTTGCTTGACACAGTATGAAATATACCTTGAGTAGACTCTGTGTTTAATCCATATAAAATATAGATGGCTTGAGTGGGTGTTGTGTACATCACAGGTGGCATCTGGGATTCTGTTTTGGTTGGCAACTCAAAATAACTTTTCCCAATTGGCAAGCCAGTCTTGCCAGATAAAATAATCAGCCTACCAGATGATGGAATATGACTCTGGGAGGAAAAAAACATTAGGTTCAATGTTGATACATGAGTATACAGAAAAAAGCTATTAAATGCATTATGTTGAAAAAAAAATCTATTTTAAAAAGAAAAACAAAAAAGAACAAAAACAAAAACAAACAAAAAAACTACAAAAACAACTGACCCATGATTCTTTGTCTGGGCTGTGCAAAATAATGAGGTCCATTACATCATCCTGGTCCAGATCTTGTACTGTTGGGCCCAGATAAACAGTCCACAGAGGATTGAAGTGATTGGACCACTCTCTGCTCTCTGGATCTATAACCCACAAAATTTTACCTACAAAAATAATAACAAAACATGGGATTAAAAACAATAATTTGCAAAGTGATAAAGTCACTATAAAATTAAAAAAACGTAAAAAAAAATGTACTTTAATTAAAGACACCTCTTTAATTATTTAAGAAATAAAAGTAACAAAAGTTGTTATCTGTAATAGTATGGATCAGTGGCGTCACTAGGTCGGGTTTACACCAGGTGTGGCAACTGAGGGTGGTGCCCTCCAACATTTTTATATGGGCCTATATACAAGCTGAACCAAAATTGTAATAATATTGGTGTCACCCCCCCCCCCACCCATCACACACACAAATCCCAGATCATGCTTAAATATGTTTTTACTTTTAGTGTGTTGTTAAATCAACTAGAAAAACCCCCAGATATTCTCAATAAAGTAGACAATTTTATTTATTCTGGCATCACCCTTATGAATGGTGTCATCCAATGCGGTCTGCAACACCTGCCCTTGCTGGGGTATAGATTTATGATAAGAAATAAAAGCATAAACATTAGGTTAGCAATAAAAAATAATTTTTTTTAAACCTGTAACTATGTCAACCGCCTGACACGTAGAGTGACGACCCGTGACAATGCAATCTCCCCTGCCGTCACCATTGACATCTACACCACCACAGACATGGTGCACAGCAACAGATCTGGTGGCAGCCTTCCACAATTCCCTGCCATCATCACCACGAAGTGCCAGTAAGACACCACCGCAGGGGTAACTGGAACCTGCACACAAGAAAACAAAAAGTTGTTTACATTTATTTCTACACAGGGTTTAAACAAGAACATATTAGTTATGGGAAGTTTATTTTGATCAAAACCTTTTGACAAATCAAGCCTGGATTAACTACTTTTCAGTGTTTAATTTGGGATGGGATGGTTGGAAGGTAGAGCTTATGACTGCTAACATGAAAGTCTCGGGTTCATCCCAGGCTCTAGCCTGTGAGACGCTGAGTCCACCCAGCTATGATGGGTACCTGACTCATGTTAAGGAAACAGGCGGCTGGGCATAGTGTTGTCCACATTATCCCTTATATGACCCGAGGTCATTGAAACAGATGAACTCTACTTCATCTGCCCCATGTCTCTTGGGCACTAATGGCGAATGATGATGCTGGTTAATTATTAACGAGCCATAAAAACGTTTTCTATGTCCATTTCAGCTCAAAGCTGAGTCACAATAGAACTTTATATTTTAGATATTGCTCAAAACTAGAAATAAACACCTTAAAGTTATAATGAGTATTTATATTAAGTTAAGGATATATTCTGCTCTCTGGAAAATTAAAAAAAATATTTCTGCAAATTTATATTTTAAAAAAGTTTTTAAATGATGAAGATGTTCACATTATTTACACTATTTTTTAACAACAGATAAACAAAAATAAACAGTGACAATTTGTCTCACCAATAGAAGAGCAGTATTTCACCATGCCTTGGGCATGTTCAACTAAAGAATCCATGAGATCTTTCTTAGTCAGAGCTATGACGATGTCATCCATTCTGTCATTATTGACATCTATCATTCGGATGCTTGACTCTGTCCCTACAAAACAGAAGGAACACTGGTGTAAAAGAAGAATCCAGAATCAGAATTTTTTTACTAAATTACCTATACATTTTCACAACCTGTAGTTTGATGTGGTCAAGCACATTTTCACAACCTGTGGTATCGTGTGGTCAAGCACACCTTTAGAACCTAGAGTAGGTGTAGTGAACCACCAATTGGTTGCCAGGTGTGAGTATTATTTTGGCAAGTCCAAAAGCTGTGATGGAAACCGAATCGAGTCAGGGAAATAAATAGTGTGTTAATCTAAAACAATACCTTTCTATAGTAAGAGAAACAGGTGAACTCTACTTCTTCTGCTCTATTGTCTGCCAGTTCAGAAAGGTTATGACGCTACCTACCACTTCTTAACTTTTCATACTGCATATTAGTGATATCTAGGTATTTTACAATATTGACTGATGTCAATGAAAAGCAGCAAATACACCTGACTGTGAACAGTTTTTATTTCAATAGAGAATCTTGTGTCAGTAAACTTGTAGAGGGGCCATTGTTGTTTTAAAAAAGTGATGTTTTATTTAGCATCACCTTTTCTAAATCAATGCATACGATAAAAGGCAGTAGAAGTAGAGGTCATCAGCTTCTATCACCTTGACATGTATAGGGATAATGTGTTCAATACTATTCTGATCCACCTTTAATTTCCCTAACAAAGAGTCCGGTACCAAATCAGAGCTGGGTAGACCCAGGGATGTTATAGAGTCTGGGATCCTAACACCAGACTTTCATGCAGTCATGTAATTCGCCAAACAACTATGTAGCCCCATACAAATTATTGAAAGAAACTTACGCATGTTATTAAAACAAACTTACAGGTGTTATTAAAACAATCTTAAAGGTGTTATTAAAACAAACTTACAGGTGTTATTAAACTCTTTCATCCAGTCTGCTGTGTTCTGCCCCACTATTGTTTCAATCACAATCCCATGGTTAAAGAGGTGGTTTATTACAGGGAAACCTACGGCAGCTGCTACTCCTAACAATATGACAAGAAGAACAGCCACAAGAACCACAGTTCTCCTTCCTCTACCCTAGATTAAAAAAATGTAAGTTTAGTTTTAAAAAAATATTAAAAATTGCCATAAATCATATCATAATTTGTTTTTTAAATATATGTCAACATGCATGTTTAAGTACAAAAAAATAAAAGTTTACTTAATTGAGAGCCGTAAAGTTCATGAGAAAAATACACTAGTTTAGCATAAATTATTTTAAAATAACAGAAACAAAATTTACCATAAACTGAATATTGGGAGGCGAGGTGACCCTAGGCTGACCCAACTTTTCTAACTCAAATACATTTCTCCGATCCATCTTTGGTCCATTAACCAGCCGAGAATCATAGAGAATGTTATCATCAAAACCCTCATCCTCATCATCACTAGGTATGGACTGTGACAGAGGCTGGTACTTGATGTTCAGAGAATTGCTCATTTTCATCTAAGTAATCAAATACAATTTTTTTTTTAAAATACTAAAACAATAATAATGAAATTAAAAAAAAATTGTAATTAAAATTAAATTAACATTACTTACTACTACTAAACAAATCCATTGTGAAAGTTTTTCCAAAAACAAGAACCAGCATAAAGATAACGGCTTAGAGCAAGTGAGAAGCAACAATGGTTTTTATATTAAAGCTAAGGGTCAGGGGTGTGACCCCGGCCTAGTGCTGACATTTAGTGGGTGAGACACATTCCTTCTACTTTAATTTGGCTAAACTGCTACTTCCTCATTGTGCCCTACTGTCATACAGGATATTATTACTGTCATGCGTTACATGAGCAGGAGTCATTTTATACAGTCCTATAGTGTGGCAGATAAGAATCTAATACTGTCCTAAAGGTTGGCGGATGATAATCGAGTACAGTCGTATACAGCTGCATACAAATAGTGAAAAAAAAGCAATTTAATATAGTTTTATAGCGTGGCAGATAAGAATCGAATTCAGTCCTATAGAGTGACAGATAATCTAAAACAGTCCTATAGCGTGGCAGAAAATCTAATACAGTCCTATAGAGTGACAGATAATCTAATACAGTCCTATAGAGTGACAGATAATCTAATACAGTCCTATAAAGTGACAGATAATCTAATACAGTCCTATAGAGTGGCAGATAATCTAATACAGTCCTATAGAGTGACAGATGTTATACAGTCCTAAAGAGTGACAGATAATGTAATACAGTCCTACGAGCCGACCCGCAGCGTATCATACGCCGCTATTTAGTTGTTTTATTTTCTACTTTTCAGTAATTCATATTTGTGAATTCGACAGTACCAATGCTGCCACTGAAAATATTTGCTTTAAAACACTAACCCCCCCCCCCCCCCTAACCCCGACCCTACACCCCCCCCCCCCCCGTGAAAGCAACCTCCTCTTAGTTATTTCTTAGTTACCTCCTGTAAGCTTAAAATCGAACAAAATTATCTGCCCCTAATAGAAACCCGGCTCTACGATTTGTAAACATTTAGCTTTGTAAACATTTAGCGTGACCACAGCTCACCAGACAATGTGGGGGTGGTAGTGATAGTGATAGAGAGAAAGAGAGGGGACTGCAAGGAGGCGCTTGCAGCTTGTTTTCTAACGGCTCCCAGAAGAGAATTATATATACGAGCCGACCCGCTGCGTAACATACGCCGCTATTTAGTTGTTTTTTTTCTACTTTTCAGTAATTTATAATTTGTGAATTCGACAGTACCAATGCTGCCACTGAAAATATTTGCTTTAAAACACTAAACCCCCCCCCCCCCACGTGAAAGCAGCCTCCTCTTAGTTACCTCCTCTAAGTTTAAAATCGTTTCAAACTAAATTATCTGCCCCTAATAGCTGTCACTGAACCCGTCTCTATGATTGTAAAATGTAAACAGCGTGACCACAGCTCACCAGACAATGTGGGGGTGGGGTGGGGGTGGTAGTGATAGTGATAGAGAGAAAGAGAGGGGACTGCAAGGAGGCGCTTGCAGCTTGTTTTCTAACGGCTCCCAGAAGAGAATTATATATATAGATAGATAGAGATAGGGAGACAGATAATCTAATACAGCGTTATAAGGTGACAGATAATCTAATACAGCGTTATAAGGTGACAGATAATTTAATACAGTCCTATAGAGTGATAGATAATCTAATACAGTCCTATAGAGTGACAGATAATGTAATACAGCGTTATAAGGTGACAGATAATCTAATACAGTCCTATAGAGTGATAGATAATCTAATACAGTCCTATAGAGTGACAGATAATCTAATACAGCGTTATAAGGTGACAGATAATTTAATACAGTGTTATAAGGTGACAGATAATTTAATACAGTCCTATAGAGTGACAGATAATCTAATACAGTCCTATAGAGTGACAGATAATCTAATAAAGTGTTATAAGGTGACAGATAGTCTAATACAGTCCTACAAGGTGACAGATTATCTAATACAGTCCTATAGGGTGACAGATAATCTAATACAGTGTTATAAGGTGACAGATAATCTAATACAGTGTTATAAGGTGACAGATAATCTAATAGTGTTATAAGGTGACAGATAATCTAATACAGTGTTATAAGGTGACAGATAATCTAATACAGTGTTATAAGGTGACAGATAATCTAATAGTGTTATAAGGTGACAGATAATCTAATACCGTCATATAAGGTGACAGATAATCTAATACAGTCCTATAGAGTGAAAGATATTATGGAAGTGAAATAGAGGAATATAATCAGAAAGACACTATAGGTGCCACAACAGCCCATCTAGACAACAGAACAGATAAAAAAAAGAAGAAAAAAAAAAGAATTAAAAGAAAGATTAATTCGTAAACATATATTTTAATCTGGCCTCAAATAAAAATTCCTTACCTGTCCGATGTAATGCCTATTATTCTGAATGTGGCTGTTTATTCCTTTTTATTTTCTCTTTTAAACACATGCATTGTATAATGCCAGAATATTATTCAGATGTTTGTTAGATATCTCATTAGAAGAAATGTACTGAAATACAAATTAATAAATCATTTAAAAAACTATCATTCTGTATTTTACTAAATGGGCCTATGTTTATTTAAACCCAAATTTCTTCAACAAAGCTATAAACATTCATAATTTCCCCATTAATTACATTCTGAATCAGCAAATGAAGTGAAAAGTTAATAGAATATTATAAACTTTATTAAGATTGTTTATCTTAGGTATCCTGCATATTATAAAACAAAGAATTAATTACAAATACAGTAGCAGTAATTACCTACAAAATAAATTAATAAACAACAAATTCATTAATGTTACTATAAGAGCAAATCTCTAAAGTATTTGATAGATCAAGCCGTAAAGTCTAAATTTTATATGTAAACTCTAACAATACTGTTTTTGTTGATGACTATATAATAAACTGATAGAGTCAGCAGAAGTTTGTAATGTTATTCTCACACTAACAATGTATCTATAAATCATACATACAAGGACTAAAATAGTTTGATTTAAGGGGATTGTTCAAGAAAGAAACATAGCTAATATTTTGCCAGAGCTGATGCAATTAAGAATAAAATACTTAAAAAAAACTTTTTAAAAAACCACGTTTTTCTTGTGGACTAAAAAGTAGAAAATAAATTTTTCTTTTGTGCTTCCTCGAGCTGTGCAGATTCTTGTGATGACTGACAAAAAACGTGGGTACGTTCACCATCAAATTTCCCGACCCATCTGCCCGACCCACGTTTTTTGTCAGTCATCACAAGAATCTGCACAGCTCGAGGAAGCACAAAAGAAAAATTTATTTTCTACTTTTTAGTCCACAAGAAAAACGTGGTTTTTTTAAAAAGTTTTTTTTAAGTATTTTATTTTCTCCTTTTTAGTCCGTTGCTACACATGAAAAACGTGGTTTTTAAAAAAGTTTTTTATATAGTTTATTTTCTACTTTATCTAATGACTTGATTAAGTATGACTTGACTAAGTGTTTATAAATACACGGACTAAAAATCTTGAGCGACCAGGATTCGAACCTGGGTTGTCGCGGCCACAACGCGAAGTACTAACCACTATACGATCACGGCCAGCGCGCTCACATCGATTGGGGCCGAAGTAACTGTGTCAATAGGCCTCGTCTTGTCGGTATCTTTAGAAATCATGTCCTCAATTTTATGGTCCTTGGGGCGTAATTAAATTAAGCTAATTACGGTCTCTAATTGCTAGTTTTTATGATTGCATTTGAAATTGTTAGGCGAAAGTAGCCTGCATGCCAAATTTCAGATCTGTAGAGCAATCAGAAGTGGGCTAATTTTCGATGTCAATTTTAACAACAAACAAATCCACAAACGCGAAGCTGAGTTAAGAAAAACGTGTTAAAATGCAGACAATCAAGTGAATAGTACTGATGCATTTTTTAGAAAAAAAAACAAAACAACCAATAGATAGCGTAACAAAATAGTAATACATTACAATGGATTCAGAAAGTTAGAAATAATGGGGTTGGTATGCATAATGATTTGTGTTGTGGATAACACAGGTATTGAAACACTGACTAGAACGTACAGACTGGTATTGAAGCATTAGGCTAATGATTGACCGGTATTGACGCATTAGGCTAATGATTAAGAGGGACATCCCCACAGGCCATGTGAACTGAACGAATGCCAAGGGTATCAAATTACAGCCCAGAACGGACTGACCAATAGTAATACCTAACTGTGTGGAGGACATTCCCAGGAATGCTAAAGTCGACACCTGCGGTTAACAGGGAACGAATGATGATAGCAAAGTTGTGGTATGTTTATATATTACTAAATAGATATATATATATATATATATATTTCTATGCAAACAGGTTTCAATAATTTTACTAAGTCCAACCACTGTTGGTCTACAGTCCCTGCAAACACCACTATCAACAATGTGTGTGACTTCAAAAGTCAGTTTTAGCATTCTAAAAACTAAATATCAGATACATAACCTTTTAGTTCTGCATCAAATATCAAACTTTAGTGTTATCAAGATCTATAAAAAAAACTTCAAAGTGGAATAGTAAATTCATTTTTTTTTCAAATAAAAACCTGACACTTATGAATTTTTGTTTTCATTGTATAATTTGAACAAAAAAACAAAAAAAAAATGATTAAAGTCGATTTTCTTAGTTTCACTAAATGTAGAGATGGAGATCTCTTATTCTAAAACTGTGGTTACTCACACTTATAAAGTAATTAATTTCTATGCTGCTGAAAGAGTTGATCTGGACAAGAACATTTTTGTCAAAAGTTTTAATAAAATCATAAGTTTAACCAGATTTTGAAGAGTTTGATAATTAAGAGGTCACAGATAAGCTGAATAGTTCACCATACTATCTATATGCAAATATTTATAACCCACATTGGGCAGAGTGGCTAGACAGTATACTCAAACTAAATACACAGCTTGTCACTATCACCAAAGGTCGCGACTGACAACATTTGCAATCATTCTCTTCAACATACATTGACGCCTAGTGTCAACAGAAACTAATATTTCAAGTGAACTCATCAGAGAAAGAACAAAAGACTTCAAAGAAGAAATGAAACCCACTTATAGTAGCTAATGATAAATAAGTTTTTAATGCAGTAATGACTTTTTATGAGTAATTAAAATTATTCTTGCAATTTATCAGTTTCGTTATTATTGTATATTGTGATGAGGGGGAGGAGGTTCAGAAAATGTGATGTCACATTCTTTAAATTATGCTGGAGTGATTTCCCCTAAACATTCTTGTATATTCTTTTATAACAATATTTTTGGGATTGCACTTAAGCTATAGAAATATAGGAGTTCATGAGATAACCAATCAGCTTTGTTTTGTTGAGAAAAACTATTATTATAGAGGTGAAGATATCTGAGAACATGTTTTATGAGAATATGATATACAATAAAATTATCAAATTCTGAAGTTTTAGAGAAATCAAAAATAGAGAATAATACCTCTTTTTAAAGCACTAATTTTCCAATCTCTTAAGCACCCTTTGAATAGAGTAGAGTCAAATAGAAAAAGAAATCGGAAATAGTGTAAAGTACTGTTACTGAAAAACATTAAATAATTTGATAGAATCAAGAGAATAAGATCTTATACCTGTGTATCAAATTTCATCTATCTACCTGAAAGAGTACTATTATTGGTATTTTAGATAACAGAAACAGAGGCAAGTACCACTTCAGGATATCAGAGGTCACTCAAAATTTGACAGGAATCCAAGTATTAGATCTTTTACTCAAATGAAATGTGGTGTATTTATCTGCAAAATAAATGTACTCAAATTGTCATGTTCCCACCAGAGGCGTAGCGACCCCTCCCGGCGCCCGGGGCGATCTTTCATTTTGGCGCCCCCTATATATATATATATATATATATATATATATATATATATATATATATATATATATATATATATATGTGTTTGTGTGTGCGACAGTCTGGAAAAAAATTAACAATTAAGCTGATTGTCGTTCCCTAAAACTTCACTGGACGCCAATTAAATTCCCCTTAAGATGTCGAAACGAATAAAAAGTAGAAAATCAAAAGAGCTTAGAACAGTGGGCTCCATCGAATCCGAGAGGTTTGGTAATTCAGTCTCAGGGCTTCCGCGGAGGTCAAGACACACAGCCGACTCATAGGATTCACGATCGGATTTTGTCATTGTGGACGATACAACTATTAAGGAGGGTTCGGTGATTGCGCATATGAAACTGGTGGGGTTCGGTATTCTAAAAATTTAAGAACCACTGCTTTAGAGTGTATTTTGTAGAAGGTGCAAGCCTTATTTGGTTTACTTTTGGTCGTGTCTTTAGAACAATTTCGATAATAATAGGCCAATTTTGCATTTTTGAATTATCAGTTAGGTTGAACAAAGTAATAATCAGTACAATATACTAATTTTCTTCTCTCCTAAAATTTTGGCAAAGTGTGTCGCTTCCCATCCACCCGCTCCGACAGTCTGCTATTTTACTGATCGGATAGCGATACAAGAATCCGTGATATTTATTTCTCTTAATGCAGTGATTCAGGCAAGATGTAATGCAATCAAGTAAAAGTATCTGATCTCTCACGATGAAGTTGAGAGAATCGTAAGAATTGTACAAAGAACTAGTCGCGTTATTACTTAGCAAAACTGGGTAGTGAAATTGTACATAAAGTGTTAATACAATTGATTTCTTTTCTAAGTGTTAAAAGAGTTATCTAGCAACCGATCCAGTACAAATCCTGCGATTTTTGTTCGTGAAAAAGCGCCCAACCATCTTGGACAAAAATGGTAGAGCGGATTTTAAACGCCACTAACTCTTTTTATGTTACACAATCATAAAATACGCTTTAGTTCAATGGGTTTCTTTTCTGAGTGATATCGGTTATTTATTCCTTAATCCGGTGTGAATTTTTTAGATTTTAGTCTTCGAAAAAGCGCCCCCCCCTCCACCTAGTAAAGCTGGAAAACGGTTTTTCCAGTCACTGTTTCTTAAAGATATATGTTTTACAGTTACACAATCAAGGTAGAAAACAGTTAAATCAGTATGCAAAGGCTCTCAGCCGTTAAATTTCTTTACTTTGACTGTTTATAACTCAAAACTGCAGCTTAAAATAAGCTTTTAATTTTTTTTCTACCCCTTTTGGCGCCCCCTTAGGGTCGGCGCCCGGGGCGGCCGCCCTCCCCGCCCTCCCCTAGCTACGCCTCTGGTTCCCACAGAAATAGAGTAAAGTATCACTACCAGTTATAGGAAATTGTTCAAAAGTTAAAAGAAACCTTTTCATACAATCCAATGCTTGTCTACCTAACCTAAAAGGTACTGTAGCTATAGGCTTTTGAGTAACTGGAAGTAGAGCAAGTTCCAGTTCCCAGAAATCGCTCCAAATTTGAAAGAAAACTACTAATTTAATACAATACTTATATATGCAATTTTTTTAACCTAACTCAAACGGTACTCAAGTTATGCTTCCATACACAAATACAGGCAGGATTGCAAAAGCTAAGTTTTTCCAACTTCGGAAGTTTATAAAACGTCAAAATGTTTCAAATCTTGACTAAGATATTATTAGCGCAATTACCCTACATCATTTATAGTTCATATATGATAAAGTAGGCAGGTGTAAAGCTGAAAAAAAAACTGTCAAAATCTCATTTAAGTTTTGTAAGTAAAAAATAATGCTCAAAACTGAATTTTAGTAGTTATTTTGTATTTTAGGAAGCTGTTTTTGTAAACTAGCGTAAAAGAAATAGATTAGCTCAGTAAAATTTTTAGAAAGAAATGTTAATGTATGTTTAAAAAAATATAACTGAATTTTGAGAGGGGCTGTAGGCTGATAGATGTCATTTTAGGGAGGGGTCTAGCTTTTTGTGAGTTAGCCTTCAGAACTGGGTGGACTCAGGTAGATCTATGCTCTGCTGACTTAAACCCTGATTTGAACTCGAGACTTTCGGGGTTTAGCAGTCTAACTGCCTCTCGTCTCAACGTTCACTCTCTTAACTCTCTACCCGTCTACAGTCTACTCTTAGGCTTAGGCCTCTCAATCCCATAGGCCATAGCTAGAGTAAGTTACTAGATGATACTAGTACTAGATCTACTAATACTACTATTCTACTAATTCAAGTTACACTCTGTTACAGTGCTGTTACTATTATTTTAAGTTATACTACACACTAGTAAACACAACACTGTACTGTCACAATAAAATGAAAAATGAATCATTGACTGGCTGGATCTATCTACTATCTACACTATCTAGTCACTGTTGTTGTAGTGTATAATACTGTATATTATATATACAGTATATTATACAGTGTATAATATAACAATAAGCACTCTTGTCTTATAAATTGAATATCTGAATTACCAATGTAATTAATTACGTATGGTATGTAGGCGTAGATTAATAGAATAGATCTATATAAATAGGCCTCTGCCGACAGAAGGATAAGTCTAATACATTCTGATACAAAATTAATTATTTATTTACAGATCTTCGGCCTACGTTGATTTTGTTTTCATTCTTTGTTGCTTTGTATTCATATGCCTGATTCATTTTTATTGTTGAAGGTTAAACTTAATTTTTGAAAAACTTGCTGAGAAAAATGATTATTTTATATAATTTTAAGCTTAACTTATGTTTACAATACTTAAAAAATCTTAAATCAAAGCATCATGCATCATAATTCATACAATTCTTACGAATACTGAAATTAAATTTTAGATCGATGAAATAATAAATACAGTGCAACAAGACAAGGCAGAACAATCAAAATTAACCAAGAGAAGACTACTCTAACACCTTTACGACCAAACGACAATTTTCTGGTAGTCGATCTTTGGTTTTTAGTAGCTCAGATCTAGATCTAGATCTAGATCTAGTATCTATTTCTAAATCCAGGTGTAATATTTTTCAACAGTAATGTATGTAAGTTATTAACTTATTGTTATGTAAGAAAGTTAATGTTTATATATCACGTTCCCCTTTCTTATATTTTATCTTTGATGCTTCTCTATCAAAAACCTAGCCATTATTTTCTTTCAAGGGAAGTTCATTAGTATCAAGTTTCAAATGCCTTCACATAACATAACGGAGGGAGGGGGAAGGGGCGTTTTTGTGCTATGGTGTGCTAAGAAGGGGAGTGTAAATTCCTGTAGTGTAATGTGACATAGATCTACTTTAATTCTAATTTTCGAAAACAAAAATGTTAAAAAAAGAAGACAATTTAGATTTTGATTAGGGTTATTTTAGAGGTAGGGAAGAATTTTTAGAGGGGATGGAATTTTTAAGGTCTTTTTGGAACGAGTGGTAATGCTTTTTGTACAACGTGAGACAATAGGAGGTGGCCCGAGGTGGGGGTTGAATGGTTGGTCGATAGTCATCATTTAGGCCCATTTAATGTCTCCGTTTTGCCTAATGAGAAAATTGATGCAAGCAAAGAAGTGGAATTATATAGGTCGCGTACAAGGGCATTAGATGAAGAGATCATGGGTTGTTTATAGAATAAAGATGCATCGGTATCTCTTCCTTGACCGGCATTGTCCAAAGGAATGTTAAGCAATACGTTCGGTACCAGTTTTGGTTGCAGAAGCTGCCGAAAGGAAAAAAAAAGAGTTGGTTATCCTAAATTGCCCAAGAAGGGGGCTCCACTCCTCTTTGATTTCGAAGTTTTCTCACCTAGATCAGTTGCTGTCCCCTGCTAACGAGCTTAGTCTGCCAGGCAAACCTTTTCGAAACCGAAGGTTCATTATGCAAGTGAAGTAGAGTTCAACTTTTACCTTGACCTTGGCAACTGAGGGGAAAGAGTGACTTACTTGACTTAGTCCTCTCAATTTTATCCGATCCCCGGCTATTAATTTTTCCGTCTCCCAAGACATCCCTGTTGGCTTCAATTCTTCGAGAAGACTCCACCTCCAGGTCTATCTTGGGCGCCTTCTCTCCCGCTTTCCCTGGGTGTTCCACTGAAGCGCTTGGCGTGTCACATTTGAGTGAGCCTTTCGCAGCGTGTCCCACCCAGCGCCACTTCCTCCTTCTTATTTGCACAGTCATAGGCTCCTGCCTTGCTTTTCTCCATAATTCTATGTTCGGCACTTTGTCCTGCCACCTCAATATCAAAATCGGTATAAGGCATCTTTTTTTTGAAGGTCGGTATCTTCGCTGTGCTCATTGGCGTAGCGAGGTCGGGTGTCACCCGGTGCGGCACTTAATGGTGTGTCCCCCCACCCCCCCCAGAGACGTAGCGACCCTTCCCGGGGACAAATTTTCGATTTGCACCCCCCCCTCAAGCTTTCGATTTGCACCCCCCCCCCCTCAAACTTTCGATTTGCAACCCCCCTCCTCAAATTTTTCTCTATATATTTTGCTATTTTTTGCCCCCCTAAATGGTGTCACCCGGTGCGGTCCGCACCCCCCGCCCCCCCCCCCCTCGCTACGCCTCTGGCTGTGCTAGCTTTAGAGACACTCCTTGTCTCTGCTCCATACAACAGAGGGCAAAGAGTGGTCAGCACTATACCAAGCCACCTTTACTCTTCTTACCGACAGTCAAGTCCTCAGGGTTGGGTGGACTCATGGACGTCCTACAACATAGGCTTATTGAATAGTGCACCTACTACCTAATACCTCACGCTCCGCCCAATTTTTTCACTCGCCCTCGTTTGACAGATTTTACGTCTTGACCCCTTACTTTTTTTGCCTCTATGACTGTTAAGAGTCGTCCATAAATGACGTCACCTTCGTAGTGGGGGGGGGGGGGTCCGTAAGCTTATGACGGTGTGTGATGAGGGGCAAGGGGGGGGGGGGGGGCATTCAGATGGTGTAATGTCACACTTTTGCATTATAAAAAAGCAATGTTAGAAAACGAGTTTTAGCCCTTATTTCGCGTTTTAGAAAACGGTTGTAATAAATTGTAATAGGAATTGATTAAAATGCTCTACGTTGACAGAGTTCAGACACGATATTGGAAAAATATAGATGTATTAAGAAAAATTCAACTACAATTTTGAGGGGGAGTTGTAGGCTGAGGTGTGACGTCATTTTAGAAAAGGGGGGGGGGTTCTGGCTTTTTGTGACGATGTGTGATGGAGGGTAGGGGGTGGTAAAAATCGTCAAAAAAGCGTGACGTCATTTACGGATGACCCCTTACTAGGCTCAAGTGTCACTGTTAAGGAATAGGCTAGGGTTAGGGCAATGGTTTCCTTTTGTGCTAGGGTTACTGTAACGATAGTAGAAAAAAAACCCAGCAACATTGACGCCGACTTGCTCTATGGAAGTAGCTTTTATTCCTATTTGGACAGTCCGATGTCCATTCTTGTTTGTCTGGTATGTAGCCTATATCGATCCCAGGTTGCTGGACCAATAGTGGCCGTCTGAGTGTAGTTAAGTATGGCGGCTGTGTAATCTAAGTTAATCTAAACCTTCAGTAGAGTATCTTACAGCTCTTCGGGAGAGGGGGGGGGGAAGGGGCGGAGGCCCCCCGAAGAAAGTCTACCCCCCCCCCCCCCCCCCAAAATGTAGCTGTGTCCCGTCCCGTCCCGTCCACACCCCCCAGGTGGGAATAGAACTAGTGTTTCAGTTGCTGTACTCGCATGTTTATGTGGCCGACCATACACAGGATAAAGTTGTCGCCGTTCTTGTACCGGGTACTTCAGTGTTTCAACCTTTGTAGTCTAGATAACACAAGCTCTAGTCATCCAATCGTGAAACAGTGTCGTTAACCATACTGATTTCCAATACCGGCGATGGGGGGGGGGGGGGGGAGGATTATTGAGGCTACGTCTCAGAGGGGTAACGAACCTTCCCGGCGCCCGGGGACAATCTTTCAATTTGGCGCCCCCCTCAAACTTTCGATTTGCACCCCCCCCCTCAAACTGCTAAAATGCAGCTAAAATGACATTTTAATTTGTTTTTACAACCCATTTTGGCGCCCCCTAAGGTCAGCGCCCGGGGACATATGTACCCCCCTGCCCCCCATCGCTACGCCTCTGCTACGTCTGTATGTAACGCATTTGACTTAGTTGAAATAGTGTTCACATGTTTTATTTTTTTTTAAATTTCCGTTGAGCAAAAGACATAGTTATATTTGTTAATAATTGCTGAATACCATTTATGTAGTACTTTTTGCCATTTTTCTATTTGAATATACTGCTTGTAATAGGACTACCCCTATTGATAAATTAGTATTATCGAAGGCAAATAAAACATTAGTCATAATAATTTACAAAAATGGAAAGTGTAAAAAAGTTGTTGGCCTAAATTGCTTCCAAAATTCTTTTTTTTTTCTACGTGAGGCGTTGCCCCACCTAGTGATATTTCACTTTACATAAAAAAAAGCCTTTCAAGAACAGTTTGTAGGAAGAATCCTCGAAATCCCGAGAACTCTGTAAACAAGATAAACTCGCCGTGTTGAGTGTTTACTGAGGGGGGAAAGATAGAGCTGCTTAATTTATAATTAGCTATATTATGGAGAAAAAAAAGGCCTGGTACATATTTTGTTCGGATTTTGACCCATTCTCCATGAACTCAGCGGCGGATTATGTCTCAGCAGGGTCCTTGGCTGAATATTTTTGTCGGTCTCACCGAAATATATATAGGCCTATATTTTTTGCCCTCCATTAAATAAACATTATCTTTTTAAGTTAAAAAAAATGAGGTAATCAACAATACGTTTATAATTTATAAGAATTGAAACAGGATAAAGATTTTAAAGACATGCACAATTCTAATTTTTCAGTTTGTCACTTAATATGTTTAATTGGTTCGAGGAGCATAGAAGCTATAGTTCAGGAATTAGTGTACTCGTTTCAAGACATGGTGTAGATTCTGTATACTAGCAACTAGCTAGATACCAACATCCCTTCATATACCGAAGCCAAGAAACATTTGAACTCTGCCATCATCTTCCCAATGGATCGCAAAATCTAAAGAGGAACTTTACTTCCTAGATCATAACTATCGCCTACATATTATCCGACGATGTTTATTTGATTCATATATCTTTCATCATTCAAAACTTAGTCTAGGAGTGTGAATGTTGGAAATACAAACACAAATGAACGTTTTAAACGACACAACAAATATTGAATCCACCAAAATATATGTAATGCATTATTTAGGAGACACATGAAAATAATTAGATTAAACTTAAGATATATTTTAACAGGTAGAAATACTTAAAAGGCCCTTTTAGGGTAACGAGAAGTTCAGAGAAAACAGAAAATCTCAAACCTCCCTACATATTGCATCATCAATCACGAACAAAACAAAGTACCTACAAATATAAGTAACAGATAGCATCGCGTGGACAGCCAGGAAGTAATGCCCTAATCCCACTTTTGTCTATTTTTAAACTGCCTATAGCATAAAATGAAATTAACAGTTAGCTTGCACATTTCTTCCTTGCTTTATTATGTTTGCTATGTTTTTTAGATTAACATTCCCTTTTTAGTTAAATCTGTAGACCATTTTGAAAGCCAAAGTTTAGCACATTTAGCCTACACCATCATTTTGCATTCTCTTTAATAAAATACTCACTTAGTCTTAGTCTTTGTTGCTCACAAAACTTTGGTTTTAATTCATTTCAAACTGATAATTAAAAAACTATTTAAAATTTCAGTTCTAATAGCATCATCTCAAAACATCTCTCATTACCTTTTTAATCGCGTAGATTGTTTTCGATCGTTACACTAGTTACAGGCAGCAGGAAATGTAGGCCTAAACATTTTTCTATTTTGATAGGGTTATTAACCTATAGCCTGTAGCTCTGCTTGTTTGGGCGCATGCTGCCAGCTCATATTGTAATATTTGTATTAGGACTATATAGGTGAACAGACTCGTGTTGATCTAAAAAAAAGTAATGGATATGATTAGGTTTAACACGTCATAATTGACATATCTTTATCCAAATTATTTTGATGAGATTCAGTTTGAGTTTTTCTTTAAATACAGACCAACCCATTGGTATTTCAAAAATGGATATTCAATAAACAGTGCCCAAGCAGGAGGCGGTATAACTGAAGTTAATACTATTTGGTAGGTGCCTTTTGAATATTTTCTGGATGGAACAACTCATATTTATGTTGTTGTTATTTTTTATTTTTTTTGTAACCTATCTTTTAACTAGTAAAAACATAAACCAGAAGGAACATTAAATCAACTTTAATTTATCGAATGTTAGTTAAAAAAATTCGGGGCCTCGGGCTTATGCCGTGTTGGCCCTGCAAATGCTCGAATTGAAATTTTGGCGGTGCTGATGATAGTTTGTGGTGGTCACACGTGCTGGTAGCATAGTAGACAATAGTTGTATAGACATTGCGTTTGGAGCTTTATTTTTTTTATATTGTGTGTGTATATTTAACTCAGTAGCGCCCGGCTTGTTCAGTTAAGCCTTGTTGTGCAATGCCGACGAACAGTGCGTTAACAATACACTATTTATATAGACTTATCGTCTGGGTCAGGTTGAAGTAGGCTAATTTATTTATAAGTTCATGCAAGTCCCGTGGTATCGGAGATTGTGAGAGTAGTCGATACCGCCCTCCGCTTTACGGTGTATTTTTTGTATGTACATCACCGGTTCTTAAACTACACGAGCCTCTTTGGTTTTCCTCTTTTTACACCGTCCCTAGTGAAAGTAAAGGCGACTGGGCATAGTGCTGAGAACACTATCCATTCTTATGCTGAAGTCACAGAAACAGGTGATCTATTTCACTTGCCCCATAGACCGTAAAGTTTAATAGGGTACTTTACTAGTTGTGTTTAGGTCATGGCTGATTGGATTGGTTGCTTAATTCCTTACAAACTTTTTAGTAACAATAAGTAACCCTACATCGTAGACTTTCTTTCTCAACGCCTATTGATAAAACGCCTTGATCGCTACTCTGTCTGGAATAATCGTCAATAATGATTCATTGAGAGTTAAAAAAAACCTGGTCATTAAACTTAAAACATCTCTCCCCTTTACAGCGACGCACGACACGGGGGGGGGGGGGGGGGGGTTCGATGGATAGGCTAGAACAGCATTCGTCAGACCTCTAAAATGAAAATTGTCACAAGTTAAGCTACTTCTAAAAATCTAAGGCGATGGTGTGCTCGTGTTGCTTTATATCTACCATTACAAAAGTGTCTTATAAACAACAATTTTACGGTCTTAAAGCTGTTATGGCACATATACATATGAAACACTTAAAAATATTGATAACCTTTTACAGAATGATATAAGTAACAGAAGTAAAGGCTGCGGAATCTGTGCAACAGATGAAGTAGAGCTAATGTGTTAATCGCCACATCTTGTGTACTGATTTCTATGGCTATCACATTGATCAGACGCCCATCGAGTGACGTCAGCCACTCGTTTAGACCAGAGTGGATTCATAGACGTCCTGCAAAACGTGAGTCACATGAAAAACGTCATAATGAAGCTTAAAAAAAAAACTTAAAAAAAAAAAACACACCCTCTTTTGCTTCCATTACCGGTCAGATTTGCATTTCCCTACAGCTAATTTCGGAGTTAAAGATACGTCAAGCACTTGCTGAATGATTCAATGCCATTTTTTGTGAGTATGTTAATAGCCTGGTGATTTACGATTTGTCATTTTGAATCTTTAGTTGATGCATGTGTGTGTGTGTGTGTGGGCGAAAGGGGGGGGGTCATTCGTAAATGATGTCATACAGCTTAAGTTTTTGTTTTGTAATGTTGTAGTTATGTGGAACGGAGGGGTGGTAAGTAATATATGTAAAATATGTTTCAGGAGCAAAACTGATTAAAAACGCAATTTTCGAAAATTAGTGTGTGTGCGTGTGGAGGGGGTTATGCCCAACCCCTAGTTTTTAATACAGATTATAAAGTAAATTTATGTTATCTTTTTTACAGTACTTCACTTACAAGATGTCACATTACCATTCTACTCGGTTAGACCCTCGTGTCACGATTACTGTTAAACACTGATGGTGAGTACACTTTTTACAGCCACACCCAGAAACTTGTCTCCCCAGGCCGTCTGGGGGATATTTCCAGATGTCGAAATGTTAACCCTTCATTACTATCTTTTCTTTAAGTAACTTTCTTCTGTTACACTTTGATTTCGTCTCTTTTAAGGTGACTTACACAAAGGCCTAATTGCATCATAGCACCACCCTTGATTGATTAGTTACCATTACATTCGTAAAAAAAAAACAAAGTAAAACACAGTTTAAAAAACTTTTACGTTTTTAATTTAGCACGATTCCCCGATAACATATACTGAAAAAAAAAATACAACGCATTACAAATAAAAATTTGTTTACAAATGTGTTCAAAAACTTAAATTAGCGCCAAGATGAGGTATCCACAGTGCACACGTTTTGTATCACGTTCATTTAGCCCTATATCACGTAAAATAATACAATTTTGGAAGGTAAACACAATCATAATACTTAATGTATAGTAACCATTTATAATAATTAATCATTATTTACAGACGAAATAATAATAAATAAGTTCAACACAACATTCAATGTATCACAAAACAATATCTATTTTAGCGGCAATAACGCAAACAGCGACACAAAGATAATCTTGAGGAAAAAAAAAACAACCTCCGTTAACAGTTTGAAAATAGATCTAGTAGTAGTAGGTCTAACAACTCTTCTTAGACTTAAGTCTTTCGTTTGTTAATAAAGACCCAAACATCTTTTTGATTTACCTTGAGGTCTTTCACTGCTTCTGGAGTTTATTTAAAAAAAAAGTGGAAGTGATTGCATTAAACTTAATCTAGAAATAAACATTAAATAACATTAAATATGTATAACATTGACTAGACATAGAATAAATATCAACATTAATGTGCGCATAATAATGTAACAAGCTGATTGATCGACAAACAAATGATCCTTTTGGAACTGATTCTCCCCAGTATATCTCAGTAGGTTCTATAGTTTGGGTTAAACAGTAGATCGCCGTTTGATTAAGAAGGACTTAATGCATGAAGTAGAGAGCAATAGGATCTTACGGTTTTGTTATCTAAATAAAGCCTGTACTATAGATAGTTTTGTAACAGAACCCGCTTGTTCATACAATGACGGATAGGATACAATTTATTGAACCAATCCGACTTGAATAACCAGTCTCAATATAAACCCTCGCTGTACAAAAGTAATCCGGCTCGCACGTGTGTATTGTCATTATGTCTCGCGCTTTTCATTGCAATACGCGCATTGCTAACTTTTAAAAAAAAAATACAGTGACCTGTATAAATCTAGCTTATTAAAAATACGATACCACGCGATAAGTTGTCGACTTTACAAATTAAAGTTGAGCAGAAATACCTTCTGTTTTAAATGTTTTAAACTCTCTAATCTCTACCGGATGAGATATTTGTGACAAGAATTTATTTTTAAAGCGTATTTATATCACTATAGACGAATACTACTTATGAGGATAACCTTTAATAAAATTCCTTTATGTCTGTCTTTCCTTAGCCAGCGGCCAGCTTTAGTGAAGCTTTTCAAAACTGTGCATACGTATGATTTTAAAAGTTTTACCTATAGTACACATATTCTTTCTTGAAAATAAAATACATTCTTTTTATATAGTACTGCTTATCTTCCAAATTTCAAACATCTTTGATCCGTAGTAGGAAAATGTAATTTCTTTTTCTGACTATTGCATTAAGTATCATCAACTCTAAAATTAATTTAAAAACAATAATTCTAAAAATGTTAACACCTTATCAAAATATAAAACTTAGCTGTGCATGTTACATTCCCCATCCGCATGAATCTAGTTCCATTCTCACTTGGATACACGTTTGTTATAAATGAGGTAAAATGTTTAAGCAATTCGTCTTTGGCTAATTGAAAGCTCCGTTGATTTTCGCATGTTATTGCCAGTTGTTATATTTATTTATTTTTACACCAGAAACACCACATTCACAAAAAAAAAAATATTTGAAAACATTAACATTAATAATTAAAACACATTTGTAATAAATAGATAAATGTTAAAAAAAAACAACAAAAAAAAAACAAAACAAAAAACTTTTGAATCTTGGAAGTTGCCACACCACCAGATGAATGTCATAAACAGCAGCAGTGACTGAAACAGCGAGACCACGTTAAAATATCAAACATCTGAAGGTTGTTGTTTAGAAGATTCTCATGCTATTGTTTAGAAGGTTCTCAGTCTGTTGTTTAGATGGTTCTCCCGTTATTTAGAGTAACAAAGAGAATTTTTTTTTTCATTTTTAGATTGTTCACCTTATTTCAATATTTCAACATCGTCCGATTTTTGTTTTTACATTTGCCATTTGTATCGATTTCATAAGTTTTTTCACTGTGAGATATTTTGGTATCTATATTCTAAGTAGCCCCATCCGTTTCAGTTTTCTCCATCGTAAAAATGGCAGCTTTTCAATATATGTTATTGTCGTTCAAAGAAGCCGTGAAATGATTCACAAACTATACCATGCCATTGACGCCTGATTACTATTGCAGCTCTAAGGGATATTACTGCAGCTAATAATAATAGCATACCAACATAATCTTAAAATACCATCAACAAAATCTATAAGTAACTGAAATGATGACATGTGGTATCATTAATTCTGTATAGACAGCATAAACCCTTAAATAGGAAACTGATAATTGGTGTCCACACCCCATTCTTTCACACAGAAAGCCACACGCATTCCCTCTGTCAATACCGACTGTGTATTCACGTACTCGAGACTTTACTTGCTTTGTGTTCCATTAGAAAAACACAGGTTCCTATACTCAAGCTTTACAGTGGGCTTTTGTTTTTACCTTGACACTTCTGTACGGCACGGATGCCGATTGTCCGCGGCTGACGTAGACATCAAATCTGTACTGAGTGTTTGGGCTAAGATCTGTGATGTTGTAGACCGTATTTGAGGGTTCGGCCGTCTTCGCCCGCGCATTGATGCAATCTATGCGATCCGTCGCAGGTCGTTTTTCTGCGCAAAGACATCGCCTTCGTCTAGAGTCTCTTCCCCTGTTGAGTTTTCTTTTATAAATACAATATTTCTGGTTGACGGAAGTGATCTCCCATGATAATGTCACATTAGAGCAGGTGACCAAACTGTTGTAAACTTTGATTTTATACTCTTTTGGCTGTGCAATTTTAGACTGAGTCACATTGGAGGTAATGGAAACGGTTACAAATGTTCTATTTGTTTGTCCGAGGAATGTCATGAGGTAGGTGCCCGGTCTGGCCACGGGGATCAAGCGGCGGTACCAGTGCTTCAGCGGTGTCTTTCTTTGAATGGTTCTACCATTGTACGAGAGCAGCACGGAAGCTTTACCATTGCATGGTACCATCTCAAACGCCAGCTTAGAAACGGTTGTGTTCAGCTTCAGCTCGACAGCGTGCCTGTGTCTGAGTCGAATCGTCTTCCTCTCGCCGACTTGCATTCTGGCCCGTGGCTGGCGTTTGGATCTTTTTATTTTTACCCACGTCCCGTTATACGCCGTAGTTCTTTCACCGTTCACAACAAACACATCCACAAAATACGTCTTGCCTCTCTTAACTCCGGTATGGGTAAACTGCGTTTTCTCGGACACGCACTGATGAAACAGCATCCTAGACGGGACCCTCTTGACAGGCTGAGCCAATTTCTTGATAGAGTTTTCAAACTGAAATCCAAATTGAGCAACGTTCGGCTTTTTATCGCCTTTTAAGTAAGCCAGTGCACCGCAGTAGGTGTGAAAGTTTTTGATGCGGCTGACGGTGAGACAGTACTTGACAGTTTCGTGGTTGATCGACGCCGCATCCGGCCAGTCAATCTGCAGTGTTGTTTTGTTGCCCACAACGCTGACCTTGTTGTCCGTGGGTACCAGTGGGTAGAATGTCGTCATCGTGTTCTTGAGCATCAGGATCTGAACGTACGAGTCGCTCTCTATGGACGTGACTGTCAGGATGTAGACCCCAGGCAGGCCGTCTTTGTGGAGATACGCATGTCTGCTCTCGCCCGTGTATCTGGTCAGTTCTTCCAGTTTTTGTAGTCGCTCCTGTTGCTCGACACTCCAGGCATAACCTACCGAGGGAACAATACACAATACATTACATTTCAAAGTTTATCAATAGCTTTGCATAGTCGTAGTGTTTGTTGCTAATTCTACTTCGGTACGCCGTGTTTCTCTTTTTCGATTAACCAACAACACAACACTGAAGCTACACTGACTATTATGTAATTTAAGATTACAATACAATAGTTCTCGGTGCTGAATGTATTAACCTTAACTCTTAGTATCATTTATACATCAGCGTCACCTGTTCCCATTCGAGCCACAGACATGTCGCAAATAAAGCAGCGTTCATCAGTTTGAATGACCTCGGTATACATGAGGATAGTATGGTCAGTTTTATGGCTAAGCGCCTTAGTTTCGTTACAGTAAATCAGGTACCCATCAAACGTGTGTGGACTCAGTGTGTCCTACAGACTCGAGCCCGGGTTCCGAACTCTAGATTTTCGGATAAGCCGTCGTACACTTTACCATTCGACCACCCGTCTTCATAATCATTTATTACCTAGGTACAATTACCTAAGTAATATTTATAAACACAGGGTGTATCTAGTTCGATACATCACAGGCTATGCGTGCCAAAGCAAATTATGTTTACAACATCCTTTAAAAAAAAAAAAAAAACTTCATGCCTGCTGGGGTTGAACTGTTGACGGATCAAAACATTCAGACTAGAGCAACTGATGCTAAAAATAAAACTTTGTGCACAATGGGCTCAGCCGCAACAGACTGTTTCTCAGAAAGCGCAACGAAAGTCACGTGATGCTTTAAGAGCTTTAAGATTACAACCAGTAATTTGTTCAGGCCGTCACACAAATACCTTTTTTTCCATCTTGAAATAAAATAATTGCACCTACCTGGTTTGTCCTTCCGGAAAAGAAGGTACCAGGTTATCGCTGAAGCACACGGTGTTACAGTGATGGAGAAAGTGCTTCTACTTTTCAGCGTAAAGGTGAAGCTGAAAGGAAAAAATAGTGTTAGTCAGGTCGGCGTAAACAGAATAGTCCAGCTATTACTTTAGAATAGTTTTCTTGTATGGTCTGATCCAAACTTGTTGCTGAACTATTGAAGTGTATGGGCAGCAGCCTGATAGGAAATGTTTGCTAACTCTCCTTCTAAATACCCATCAGTTGACACTTTATTTCCACTTGAAAATACATTGGAAATTTCACTAGCACGAGTTTAGGTTTTTTGGTTAATACAATTTTTAAAACATTTGAATCGTCTTATTTCAGCCATTAAAAGTGTTGTTTTTTTATGCTCACTTTCTCGCTCTCAGTACAGCAACACACCCCCACACCCCCACCCACCCACACACCCCACCCCACACAACCATAATATATATATATATATATATATATATATATTATATATATATATATATATATATATATATATATATATATATATATATATATATATATATATATATATATATATATATATATATATATATTTATACGGTTTCATGACAAAATATCTCACTGTCCGCAGGACATCCCTGGGTCCACCCATCTTTGGTGCGTACCTGGCTTAAGTTATGGAAATTAAAGTCGGCTGGGGATAACTCTGATCATACTATCCCTTCATTCGCCTATGTCACAGAAACATTTGAATTCTACTTTATCTGCCCCATGGACCACCAGACTAGTGAGGTGCACCACGCCATTTATAAAAGACAATTATTTAATAGAAAAATTATCATTGAATTCATTTTGATGTTATATTAAGGGATCATCCATAAAAACTGTTATGCTTTTTATAACGATTTTTACCTCTTCCCCTTTCTTATTGTTGTCCATAACAAAAAGGAAAAGCCCCCCCCCCCCCCCCACCTAAAAAGACATAACACAACAGCCTGCCATCTTCTTACAATTGCAGTTTCGTTGCATTGTAAAATATTTGCTTATTCCGGTCAGCATTGAGTATATTCATCAATGGTTGGCGCTATTTACAAAATAAAAGCTAAAAAAAAAAACAACCACGAAATACGACTAAAATCCGCTTCTTAAAATTACTTTTAAAATGCAAAAGTGTGTCTTCACACTTTTGGACAACCCCTTCTCTCCCATCGTCACACAGCGTCAGAAAATTCTCTCCCCCTCGTCATTTACAGACGACCCCTCAGACGGTGAATCATAGTCCCATGGGTACCCTACACTTTCTGACCTTTACAAGCATAATTAATTCATCAATGATATCTCTTCAACGTCGTCGCCCCCCCCCTCCCCCGAGCTCTGTGGCATCATGCCCAGCACATATTTTCCCACACAGATAACTAAAAATAGTCAGTGAATAATTGTTACTGTTTGGTTTTTGTTTTGTTTTGACCTTGTTGTTCTTAGAAGAAATATTATTACTTGTTGCCTGATGTATTGTTTCTTGGTTTACTCATGATTATATGAGAAAACCATTGGAATAAACTTCCTTAGGAAGAGAGTGATAAACGTGAAGGAAATTAATTCCAATCACTGTACACCGAATACAGGATAGGATAGGTGATAGAGCCTCAGTCTTGTTGAGAGGTCGATTCCCCCATGCCATTAAACGTTATGCTGTGAAAAGGTGGACGGCTAATAAACATTCAGATGCATTAGATCCAATTAGTGGACTAATTTGATATACAATAATAACATAATCACTATTGGCTTATTTTGCATTTTTTTTTGGAGTAGGCTATCTAATTGGAACAATTTATATCAGTTACTTCCCATTTATAAACTCTTTGACTGTTCAAGTTCAAGGGAGAAAACGTAGTATGAGAATGTTCTCCAAAAGTCCCTAAAATATAAACTAGTAATAGTCACAAAATAAAAATGGAAATCATTGATTATTATTTTATTGTACGTGAATACAAAAGGCTTTACACGACTGTTCTATTGTTTTCTGGTGTTCACTTATTTCAAAATTATTATTTGATTATAGTCTAAGCAAAAAAATATGACCTATATTAAATACAGAATTACAAAATATCCAAGAGTTTCGTCAAATCACTGATTCACAAGGTGACTAATTCATTCACACTGTCTCTGTTAAATTAAATTTATTGAATAACGAACATAAGCACATATTAGACAGTCAGGTTTACACATGATGAATGCAACAACAATATTCATGCAAATAATATTCAGGCAAGGGCATAACAGCAATAATGTGAAACTTTTCTGTTTCTACAAATTAAGAAAGTCGAAGAGTTAGGCCTATTAGTTTTCTTTTCAACAGGAACCAAATATTTGCTATGAAATCTATATAAGTAGTATTATAATATCAAGATTTGACAAATCATCCACGAAGGGGATACATTATATTATTGTATAGTGATATGATAAACATGTATTAATTAAGAAAAACAGCAACAATACGGTAATCAAACTATAAGGTCCCATTCACTTGGTTTGCGACAGTAGCGTTGCTAGGTCGGGTGTCACCCGTTGTGGCATCTCATGGTGTAACCCCCCCCCCCCCTTCCCAATTTTTTCTCTGTAAATTATGCAGTTGGTGCCACCCCAAACTCTATAGTTTGCATCTTTACGGACGTCATGGTGTCTCCATCCTTCCCTCCCTTGTTTGGATCGTCACTATGTACTCAAAATACATTTTAACTCTAATTAACAAAAAAAAAACAACGTATTTATTGTATTTTTTTTGTCTTGGTGTCACCCTCCCCCTAAATGGTGTCACCCGGTGCGGCCCGCAACTCCGTCCCTGCCTCGCCACGCCTCTGGTTTGCGACACAATGACTCAGTCATTTGGACATCCGAAAAACATTTATCGCCAAAGTGACTCCCAACAAAATCTGTCTCTTAATTATGGCATGCACATGTAGATTCTATATTTCATTTGCCTTATTTCCCCGGTTGGAAATGTTGGTGGCGCCTTTTACCAGTCAATATCTCGTAAATGTTTTTATTATGGTGCAACACAATTGATGTAGACAACAGTTTTCAACAAAACTATAGGATAGGATAATGGTTTATAACATTGATGGGGGTAATGCAAGGCTGCTTGTTCTCTCCAATCTTTTTCAGTATCTACCTAGAAAGGATCATGACGGACGAATTGGAAGACCAAATAGTATACTGGCAGACATACGTGTAAACTGGAGGAAGTGTATTCTTTCTTTCAAGTAACTTTGCGCCATACTATCCCCTTAGGATAGGCGCCCTAAGCGGCCACCCCCTCTGCCCTCTATCTACGCCACTATTTCCTAATTATCATTAGCCCTTTGAATTCATTTTGTCTGGGCCTTTTATCGGAGTCGTTTTGTTGATGATGATTGTCAAAGGGTAGGCTTTGTCATGTGCGGTGAACACCAGCAAATTCAGCATTTTTGGAGCCTCTAAAATTCCAGATGGGCCATGTCTAATTTTCACGACACCCCCCTCAACATTTGTTCCACGGTTGTACAATGACAGTGAAAAATAAAGATGATTTTAATTAACACTACTTAATTATTAAAATACACTGTTGCTAGTAAAAACTATCAGCAGTACTAAAGCAAGCAAGACCCCAAGAAGGCCCACCACTCAAAGGACAACTGGTGAATTAACAAAGCTGTTGTTCTGCTTATAGTAATCCAAGTTACACCAGTTACAGTAACGAAGAGTCGTTTCGCATTTAAATTTAAAATTCGGAGTAACTAGTAAAGTATGAATAGTTTTGCTAGCGGATTTCAGCTACCTCCCCCCTCCATCAACTATCATATAAACCAGGGGTCTCCAAACTACGGCCCGCGGGCCGAATGCGGCCCGCGATGTCCTCTCATCCGGCCCGCGGAGATCTTTTTGTCCACGGAAAAAAACGTTTGTTATTGATGGCTGGGGAACTTTACTCAGATAAATCAAAGACATGTCTGGAAGAAACTGGCCCCCGAAATGAACTTTGATAGTTAATGCGGCCCTCGGTCTGAAAAGTTTGGAGACCCCTGATATAAACGACACGCGGCGTGGTTGTTCCGCGCCACTGGTCCGATCGAGTAGAGGCATTGCGCAAAGTAGACGCGTAGGTGATCTCACCAATGTCCCTCCCCCATCCTCAATTCCAACCCCGCTCCCTCATTACAATCACTCATGTTTTTGGGCACTCATGTTCCATTTTCGATAAACAAAACTTTCAATAAAAAGTCACGCGATGAGCCGTTTCAAATTTAGGTCATCGTTTGTGCAAACAACACCATTCAACATGACTTTTAAATTTTAAGGCATGAACGAAATTAGGCTGCACTTTTAACATAATTGCTTTTAGATTGACAAACTCTATCATCAGAACGAACGCGTTCATGCTTATTGTTAGATCTATTTGTAAAAAAAAACCTGAACAGAGCCTAGTTTGGTCCTCTTCGACAACACTCAAGATATTTTAGGATCACTAACATCTTGGTTATATACAGCTTGGAACGACATAAACTAAACATACGAGCCGGCCCGCGGCATAACATACGCCGCTATTTAGTTGTTTCTAATTTTCAATAATTCATAATTTGTGAATTCGACAGTACCAACGCTGACACTGAAAATATTTCTTTAAAACACTATAAGTAGCTCGTTAAGGACCATAACCCCCCCCCCTTCCCTCCCCCCTCCTCCCCCCCCCCTACGTTTAAAATCGTTGGTTCTGCTTGTAAACATTTAGAGTGAACACAGCTCACTAAAACCATGTAGGGGTGGGGAGGTAGGGAGAGCGTTTGCAGCTTGTTTTCTAACGGCTCGAAGAGGAGAATTATATATATAGAAGATACTACGGGCATAAAAACTAAATGATGAAGCTCTGGTTTTAAATGTATGCAAAACATTTTATTTTATCCTGCGCTATCAAATCCATCCCCTCTTCAATTATATTCTTCGTTCTTAATTTTTGTGTTGGAAGGGATAGCCTCCAGCACAATTAAGTATACGTGATAACTGGTTATGCGCCATTCATCCTAGAAGAGTGGATGTCCCCAGCTAACAACCCTAATCTGCCCGAGGGTTCGAACTCGAGACTTTTTGGTTTATCAACCATGTGCTTTACCGACTCGACCTCGCCGACCCCTATCTTCTTATATTCTACATAACGCCCGTTTGCGAAACAATACAAAACGTTACTCAACATCATACACCAACAAAGTTAAACGAAAACAAAACAACAACTCACTTTTGACTCGCTCCCTTGTATAAATATCTTTCCGTCTCCCCGCCGAAGCATAAAACATGAGAGGCCTGGTTGATGGTATCACACTTGTCGCTTCTGGCGAGTAATTGCTGGGCAAGATGTTGAGGAACCAACAACGGCATCAGCAGTAGTAGCAGCAACAACGATTCGCCGACCTTTACCACGAGTTCACTTGAGTTGGACATAGGCATCGTCCACTGCCTAACCTAATTTAAAAAAAATGGCAGCATTTTAACGAGGAACATGTTTTTTTGGGTAATTTAAATATCAATGCGTGTGAATAGCTTAACATTTTTTAAAGTAGCCTACTAAAAATAACAATCATTTTAATTTTATTGTTCACCCTTCCATTTCTAAACCCTTCCCTCAGTGAACATGTTCGCGCTTAGTTCCCTCAATACAAGCATCTTTCTATGACTGTAGTATGACACTATCCATAAGTTACCTGTCTACCTATCAACCTTTTAAACCCATATTTGCAAGTAGCCGCCCATTAAACCACTCTCCCATTCACACAACCACCGTTATTCTATTTATACATTCACCCATAAAACTACCCACCCATCCATTATTCATCCACTGTTATTTAAACCAGCTCAGGGGAGGATTAAGTAATCTGCTTATGCGAAAAAGATAAATAAAAAAAAAACAAGCTTACAGTTTACCTTCCCGTAGTATACTTTATTGACTTAACCACGATAACTATCTCTAGTACACATTATTTAAAAGTACACGAATAAGAAAACAATACGTCGGGTAGTATAGATAAAGTGATGCTTAGCTTTTCACTTATGACACAGAATATGGATCAAGTTATTAAAAACTAGATCAGTCTAAAAACAACACTCTCCGTTATTACCCCCGGAAAAATAACCCCCTGTCCAAAAAAAACTGCAGTTGAACATCACCCCCGGAAAAATAACCCCCTTGTCCAAAACCTGCAGTAGGACAACAACCTCAATCTTTTAGAGTTCAATGAAAAGTTATCTTTAGGGTTAAGTTAAGGTTAAGGGTAGGGATTATGTTAGGGATAGGGGAGATAATTACCCAGAGGGGAGGTAATAGCATCGAGGACAATGACCAGAAGATTTCTGATGGGGGGGGGGGGGGGGAGTCATTGACCTGGGGTATAATGTCCTAGATAGAACCCATTGCAGAGTATATTTAAATAAACGTCTCATTTTAATGGCTAGATTCATTTTGCTACAGAGCAATTTTTTCTTCTTCTAAAAATCACAAACTTTATGTAGTTATACATGAGACTTAAAAATATTATTCTCTGCAGACGTTAGAAGCATTATAGTCATTACATTATTGCGTCGTAATACCGTCTAGGGTTCATACCATTCTGCATGTTTACTTCAAGGTCATTGTTCACTTAAAACAAATAGGTACTATAGATGCCGTGTTTCATTTAAAAACTAAGCTGTGTTTTTAGAGGATATTCGTTTGTTATGATACATACGTATTTCGATATCAAATGCAACAAGTAGACGACAAAATGCCCCATCCCCGCCCCCACCATTCTCCGAAGTCAATTTTGTTAGGAATTGTAAACCTTATAAATTTTTATATGCCAAGAAAAAAGCGAAACAACAACAGATGAGCTCTACTCCATCTGCAACAGTTTACCTAATCACTTTATATTCCTTCTGTAAAAATTACCCTTCCAACAAAGCCTCACACCCACCCGTAGCGAGAACACCAATGGTCGCGTGTCTGTGCGCTTTCTGATTAGGACACGGCCTTGTAATTAAAGTTGATGAAACCATCATTCACCGCATCCTGCGCTAATTGAACGAGATCCCAATAACAGCTAGCGGTGACACGACGGGAGGTGTTGTTTTTCAACCCCGTCCCTTACCAACATTTATTTGAAAAGCCTGCCCCGAACTCAAGTGCATCTACATCAACGCTGCTTTTCAGGTTAAGGAACAAGTTCAAGGGCTATTAAAAACGATCCGTGTTTAGCTTTCGTTTTCTTGTTCCAGACTAATTCGCCCCCAATGGCTCCGCCATTAAAATAGTATGGTTTTCAAATGAGCATCCTAAGGCGCCAGACTAGCGTTATGCATTGTACTAGGCTGAAATTAATGCTTCTAGTGTAGAACGTAGACAAGGAGTTTAAAAAACTTGATACTGCTTTCTGTGGACGCGATTAGTTTTTTTGGGAACAAAGTGGGTTTTACAAATAAGATAATAGGTTTACAAGATTGCTTGGTTAGTTCTTTAAAGATAAGCATATTGTATTTTTTTTTTGTAAACTTAAAAAGGGTTTCAGTTGTGTTTTTTTTTTCATCATATTTCCTCTAGAAGTTTTTGTGCAGTTCATGAAGATGGTAAAATAATTATAAAGTACCATTTATTTCTGGAGGTGTTTACAACCTCGGGCAAGTGTTACGGCAAATGGAGTCTGCTAATTGAGAGTAGGAAAAAATATGTTTGAGAGGAGGCACACAACTTGTTCTTTTCTTAGTTTACAGGATGATTATAAACCGCTACATCTTACTGCCTCACTTTCATCATGCTTTTCCCTTCATGTCCAAGACCCATGGGGCAGATAAGGTAGAGCTAATCTCTTTCGGTGACCTTGGGATATGAGAGATAGTGTGGTCAGCACTTTGCCCCAACGCATTCCTTTTCTTAGCGTGATTCAAGTAACCACCAGAGCTGGGTGGACTCAGAGACGTTCTACAGATTCGAGTTCAATATTCGAACTTGAGACTTCCGGGTTAGCACTTTCAATCCCAGTACTTCGTCACCATGCCTCAATTTATCAACACCTGACAATATCAAGCTGTAAAAATAATTCTAAAACGAAATAACATTAAACCTGAGACGTGATTTGTATTCTATGATTGCATTTTGTTTGTAAAAACTGACCTCCATACAACCAGAGTTTCTTCCAGGCATCTCTTCGGGGGGGGGGGGGTGCTCCCCCGTCCCGAAGAAAGTCGGGGGTCATCCTTTTATGAAGTCCACAATCACATTTCTATTGTAGACCCTTTCTGTATACATTCGTACACTTAAGACCGACCCCCCTCCCTCTTTCATGCGGTTCGCCACAATTTAATCATCCTTTTTTAACATACTATACGAAACTAATTGAATAACATGACAGTATATACGTTTACCGTACATCTCTAATAGTTTATATAGTGATTTATTCTTTCCGGAATTGTATGTTATCATTTTAAAAATCTACTTCAAATATGCATTTATGACGAACACTTGTTTTATTTTTATTTCTCTCAATATCAGCCAAAAAGTGAAGCAAGGAAATAAACAATTATTTTTTATGTGTCTATGGATAGTAAACGTTTGAAATCCGAAATTTTCTGATGTCGAACATAGCATCATAACAAATTGTAAGGTCATATCGTGTTTATGCATTTTATTTTGTGTTTCTTTCAATCTTCGCTCGCTTACAGTCGAAGTAAGTTTTTTTTTTAAAATATAGATACCGTGATTGAATTCCCGGCTGACCTGTGTAAAACACAGACGCCGACTTTTAGATGTTATCACTATGTTATCACTATGTCATTAGTTTTGTTTTTTGTCGTAACGAGTGGACATCCACATGGACACGCCCCCCCCTCCCCCCCCGTAGTTAACATGTGTCCTGAAAAGTCACCCGCCCCCCCTTGAGCTTAAATGTCAAGGGGGTTAAGACCTTGTTCATTTATGTTAAGTGTAATTTATTTAAAATAAACTCAAACCACAAACTTTTTTTTTTATATAAGTGTGATCCTTTTTGTATTTTTGTGATTAACTCAAATGAAGTATCTGAGGCTAGACACATATCTGCCGCAACGATTTGCTTTAAATTTTACACATACGTACTAGCACTAGTAAATAACAATACCCATCCTGTAGTACCTCAATTTCTATCTTAGCTTAGATCTATATTTAATTAGTCATTACCAAAGCAGCGCAAGTTAGCTGAGCTGGTATTCACTAATTATTCTGTTCGCGTATAGCTAGTCAGAAGGTGGTGGCGATCACTTTGGTAGGTTGGTGTATAGTTTGTATATTATAGAAGAATGTTATGCCTTAATGAATTACGAATGGTTTGAAAAGCACACGCTTACACATGGTATTAAAGGTTTTAAAAACTTAATAAATGTTGTATAAGTTTTATGAAGTTTATTAAATCACTAATAAAGTAGAAAACAAAATATATTTAAAAAACATGTACGATACAAACTCTAGAAATCTTTCTAATGTAATTTGAGACTGGCTTGTTTACTTGTATTTGCACGTTGAATAAAATTATTCATTTGTTACATAAACTTTTTAAATTTACACGAAATATTTTTTTTAAGGTTTTTGAAAAAAAAATTATTTACATTAATAAGTTTTATTATTTTCCTTTACAAATGTAAATCAGTGTCTTCTCGCCCGAAAAAGGGAGAAGAAAAAAAAACGACCGTGCCATAAACGGCGATGTCGAAAAGTTTAGAATCCTACACGTCCCCCACTCACGCCTGTATGATCCCATGATTGTGTTTAAACGGGCATTACTCCCCAGTAATATATCCAGCCGAGGGGGAGGGCGGGACGGCGGGATACCCAGTGTCTGGCCCATATAGTAATTGCTAAGTCCAAGCCTGGTGAGTCATCCGCCTTGTTTGTGTAGTCGGCTGAGTTTTACAACATAGATAAGCAATGTTTAACCCAATGCTATCTCACAGACACCATGTATACATATATATATATATATATATATATATATATATATATATATATATATATATATATATATATATATATATATATATACGATAAATATATAAGATGCAAACAGCACTTTACTTATAATCTTGTAAACACACACACACACACACAAACACAAATGTTGTAGTAGATCTATATCTATTTCACGTTTTCCTAAGATAATTATACAGGCCTATATTTTAGTTTTGATCAAAATTTCTTAATGTAATTGTTCATCAAACTTCACGAGAGCTATGGAGTTTGATGTTGATCCTAAAAAAAAAACTGTTCTTCAAAATATACATTTTTCATGCATTAGTTTTAATAAAATCACAATTAACATGAATTGTTATATTGTTAACTGTTAGTATATTACATTATTTTGAAATAATATAAAGTAAAGCAATTATAATGTGTGCAGTAGACTACTTATATTATAACCCCAACCGTAAACGTTTAAGCACACAATTTCCGTTCTATCCTATCCACG